GGAGTTTTTGTAAAGATTAATTGAGATAGTTCCTGGCAGGAAGGTATCATTTTATGGATGGCAACCGAAAATTATTACTAGTAACACTTTGGCATCTTTTATCATTTGGTTTTTAACCTTTCTCTTTTTCAATATCACTAGCTCGTCAATTTATGCTTGTGCTGGGAAATGCAATAAAGTCTCATAGACTCAGCTGCTTTTGTTGAGTAGTTGATACCTTCATTGGGGGTCCTAGGACAGGAGCTCCTCACACCAGAATCTGCATCTTATTCACCCAAGAGTTCCATGCCTGGCACTTCAAGTACCCTCAGTAGATATTTTTGGTGGCTGAATGGAGGAATGACTGGATGGACAAGATAGATGGACAAATGAACTAGCCCTGGGGCTTTTGAAGAGTAGTTTCTTTCCCAGCATTAGCCCTGTACAATCTATTGTTCGGTGTAGGACATTAATTTTTTTTAAATCAGATTTTTATGGGAATTTATTTTTGGTCTCAAAACCCTATAGTTTTAGTCCACTCATAGAGATTTGTACTAGGCTAAGAATACAATTCAGTGTTTTTCCAGCCCAGCGTGAGCCAACCTGTCTATTGCTTTGACAAAATGTCTAAATATGCTGTAAGGCTTTTATATAACGTGTTTTCAAGAGGAAAGAGACAGCTTGCACAGAGGAGTCTTAAGAAAATTGCTTACTGCAAAGAAAAAGTAATGATGTTTTTTGTACTATCAGGGCAAAAAAATGTTTTCAATAACCAACTTCTAATGAGGCTTCTCCTAGACAGGATAATCTGATTTCTGAGTGGTCATAGTTATTCTCTCATCTGCAAAAAAAGATGGTTAACTTTGGAAACAGATATGAAATGAAGAATTGAGAATCAATGCAAGACATACACATACCATGCTTCAAAGCTACTGACCATTGGTTCAGGCAATATTTCTTGTTCTTTGTGGCTTGATTTAGCACATCTATGCAAGTAAGCCATGGTGTGTGTGTGTGTGTGTGTGTGTGTGTGTGTGTTCAGTCCATTCTTACTTATCTCTATTTGTTTGTTTGTTTGTTTTGTTTTGTTTTTTGAGACAGGGTCTCACTATGTAGTTGAGACTGACCTGGAACTCACTTTGTAGCCCAGGCTGGTCTTGAACTCACAGTGATCCTCCTGCCTCAGCCTCTCGAGTGCTGGGAATACAGGTGTGCGCCTCCACACCCAGCCCATTCCTACTTATCTCTAAGGTTTCCTCCTGATGTACAGATGTTTTATAAATTAAGGCAAAGGGATTTTTTTTGTATCATCATTTAACTGTGATGAACTGCCTTAGTCACCAAAACTTACTCTATCTCCTGCCTTTCCGTTCTCCTGTGTCAGTAGGAATTTCTGTTGGCTGCTAACCCTGGCTGGGGGAGACAGCTTGGGTATAATCTGGAAGCTCTGCAGTGTCCCCAAGAACTCGGGCTCTTCTGTCCCCTATTAGCATGTGGCTCCCAGTCTCATGGCTGCCTTGTGTTTCAAGCACGCCCACGGTGACTCTAGCCAGTAAGCCTACCTTCCAAATAGGAAGTAAGAGAAAAAGACTACATTTCTACCATTTCCCCTCATAGTCCATCAGCCAGAAGTTATTCCTGTGTGAACCATCACAAGGGAGTCAAGGAATGTAGCCTTTTTGCTGAGCACATCCCTACCACACATAAAACTGTATCCCGTTGCTGAGGAATAGGGGAAATTGGATATTGAGTAGAAATGATTAGTTTCTGCCTTCCTCCATTTTTGTCTGTCTCCTGTCACCACAGTGATCTAAGTTGTGACCACAGTTGTGACCTTGGATTTTGAGTTTTCCTTAAACCGCTGTTTTGTTTTTCTGAGTATGGACTGACTGATCGTGGCAGGACTAGGGATGAACTTCCCCCAGACAGACTGAGAAACTCCACCAGCTACTCTGCACTCTCACCTTTTAAGAAGCCCGGTTCCTCCAGGAGACCTGTTCTTAATCTGCCATCAAAGATCCTAATGTACAAAGAGGCAGATGCCTCACACAATCCTTCCAAACAACATCCCTTTGGAATGTCATTGTTGGTCCTGACTTTACAGGTGAAGAAACCAAAGATCAGACAGGTTAAGCTGGACTAGAGTTTTTAAACTCAGGTGATTATTCCTAAGCTTTTCCTGCTACACTGTATGTTTCAGTAAATTTTCACCAGGTGTGGCAGTCTGTCCCGCACACCCCAGCCCCAGTCTGGTGAGCGTCACTGATTTCAGAGGTTGTTCTTGGCCCTTTGCCCTTCTGCAAGATGGAAAGAGGAGCAGTGGTGGGAATGTATGCCACTAGTCCAGTCTCCAGCCTCTGTGCTGCCCAACTTCCTTCCCATGAGGTGCACATGGAAAATGGTGCTATTTGTACAGCAAGGGCTAGCAGAGGCTGGGCTGAGCCCCCTCTTGCCCGGAGCAAAGAGGCCCACATACTGGCTGGCTGGCCCTATGGCCTTTCTCCTGCTGCACAGATGTGCTTTTTCCTGATCTAGGATCCAATCCAGAATCTCACATGACAGGTAGCAGGCATGTCTCTGTGGTGTCCCCACATCTGTGGCACCTCACTCTTTCCTGACCTTGACACTTAAAGGTCTGCTCAGTTATTTTTATAGTTCTACACAACCTCAAATGGTGGTCTTTCAAGTTGGGGTTCACTGATGCTTTCTTATGATTAGATTGAAGACATGCATTTTCGGCAGGAATGTTGTGAAAGTGATGTGTGCTTTTAGCCCATCATATCAGAGGGTACATGATGCCACTACAACTTTTACTGGGTTGTCGACTCTGACCATTTGCTTAAGCTGTGTCTGCTTGGAAAGTACCTTTGTAATTAATAAGTGTTTTAGAAAAGATACTTTGAGACTATCTAAATATCCTGTTTCACTTTGAACTTCTTCCCACTAAGTTTGACAGCCATCCTGCCTCTGGTATGCTAAAGGTGACTGTATGTCCCTTATGTCTTCTTTGTAAATTGTCATTCTGTAAGGAAGGTTTGTCCCCTCTCTCCTGTTATTTATTTATCCAATCATTTAGTTAGAATTGACTCGTGGATATTTGTTTTACTCTATGAATTACAATCCGATGCTATCATTTATCTGCTGCTCAATCTGTCCCTGCAGTGGCCACTGGGAATTCTCTCAGCTTAGCTCTCCTGCCTTATTGATGTGCCAGCATCATTTTGGGGTATTTCCTTACTTTCTGGCACCACCAAAGTCTCTGTACTCATCTTGGATTTTCCCAGTCCCAACCTAATAATCCCCCAAAGGATCCTTAGTTCATTTTAATGAAGAGTGGTATTCAGAAATTCTGTTGGTGCTTTGTGGAATCATCTATTACTATAAGATCGTTTGAAATGTAAACATGACCCCAACTTTATAGATCTTTATACATAAACAATGTGGAGACCAGTGGGGCTACATGATTGCCCAATGTCACACAGCTCAGAAATGGCAGAAAAAGGTCAAACCAGAGCATAATATCTCTAGTGTAAATGCCTCCTTTGTTTTAAGTATGACTTCTTACTTGGCAGGAAAAAGTGCAAATACTCCAGATAGATGTGATTTCTGGTCAACAGAACACTCAAGTAACCCATGTATGAAAACAAACTTATCATCCAATAAATAGATTTTGATAGATTTTGTTGGATAAGCCATCAACGTCCACAAATATTTCCTGGGCTCTGTGAATTTCCCCTACTGTTTAGTTGTGCTTTCATTCTGTTCGGCAAGGCATACACGAAGGAGTAAAGAACACAGAAAAATAATACAATAAAACAGTGGCAGGACCGCTTTCTGGATCTCCACGGTCTTCAGGCAGAGCTCGGACGGGGTCCACTCTCCTTCTTTCCTGTGGGTTTAGGAAGCCAGGAAGCCAAGGCTCAGGGACACAGCGATTTGCATTTGGTGAGTGATGAGAAAGGAGGGCTGGAATAGAGGCCTGCTCCTTGGATCCTGGTCTTCATTTGACCTTAACAGTGCCAAGACGTAACCCTGAGTGGGGAGCGCCACCAGAGGATTCTGTATTTCATGGCCGGGTCCTTTGGGCTATCTGAGGGGCCCTGTCTATACACCTGGAAACTTGACATAGCGACTTCATTCTGTGGTGCTTAACTTGCAACCCCAAGTCGGCCTCCTGCGGCAGCTGTGCCTAAGACTCCACAACAAACTACCTCGAGATTGAAAAACTTGGTAGTTTATTGAGACTGATCCAGAAGTAGGAAATCTGGTTTCGTGACCTGGCTAGAACGCTATGGGTTTGCACTAAACCCATTGTTTACAGCAGGCAAGATCTTTCACGTCTCTAAACCCTGCCTTGTGAGGGCTGAGGATTTGATTCAGTGGTTCCAATGCCTGCCTCACAAGCACAAGGACCTGAGTTCGATTCCCAGTATCAAAAAAACAAAACCTAAACTCTACCTTGTGGCATAAAATGATTCCTTTGGATTAGGTGACCTCCTCTAAGGCCCTATCTTGTTTTGAAATCCTTGGGAGCCTCAATTTCCTTTCCAGAATTCGCCGGTTCTGCAGTCTCATTGGTAGAGCTCTTCCGCCACCTAGTGGCTGATTCTGAGGCCTCGCTCTCCCAAGGACGCCTTCAGCTCGCAGATGCGCCTCAATTACAGCAAGAGAGTAAAGCCCTGTCAGTCTTCCTTTTGCAGGAGTGTGGCACACTGCCAGAACCTAGGAGGAACACATGTTTAATTCATGTCCTAGAAAGATATGCTGGGTGAACACAATGCCACTTCTTATGGCAAAGGCCTCGGCGCAGTGGGCATGTGGTCACAGAGCAGACTTCTGATGTCAGGAATGCCCAGTGAGGTGCCCTGATAAATGCAACCCAGAGGAGGTGTGTTTGGGTTGCTCCCCGTGAGCTAATCTGTCCCACGCTGGTTTGTAATGCTTTCAGCTGCTCCCCAGTTAACACTCATTAAGCATGCAGATTCTTCATGCGGGCCTTCCCTGCTGTCAGAAGCCTCTTCCAGAGCCTGAAGGAGAAAGGGGTGGGAAGGGCTCCCCGGGCCTCCTGCTGAACTGAAGCAATCCTGCATCCTACCAAAGGTACTTTCCCTTCTGAGGTCCTTTCCCTACATTCCCCCAAAAATAAAAACTGGCTCTGAAACCTGTCGGACCTTCAGAGTTTGAACCGTCTGGGCTGTGGGACATTTATCCCGCACATCCTGGTATTTGTCAGACGTTGCCACAGATCCCAGAATTATAACCCCTCCCCACCTGATTGCCTAGCTCACACTCATGGTAACTGCCGTTCACCTGAAAATTCTGTCTTCTACTTTTGGTGTTCTAGTCAGAGAGACAAACACAGACAACGTTATTGGTTTTGTCATGACTCAGACAAGAAAGCCAAGGTCTAAAATTGGGTTAGGCGCCTCACTAGGTATCTAAACAGGGAGTGGTAGGGTTATAATAAAAGGAAGGTCTTCAGACTCTTGTTCAGCAGTGTAATGTTTGGGGATTTTCTTTTTATGATCTCAGTGAAGGACCACTGGTTTATTAATTTTCACCACAAACACTACTGAAGCTATTAATTGCCTGTGCTTTATATAGCAGTGCAGGCTTTTTCTTTTTTCCTTGCCAAGGCAGATAATGTAGTCAGTAAGTGGAAGAAGCACTGGGCTGGGAGCCAGAAAGCCGGGGCTCTGGTTTGACACAGCCACCTGGTGGCCCCGGAAAGTCAAAGCCACTGAGCCCTCCGCTCCTTTTTCTCCTCTGTGACTCAGATCCTTCCCTCCTCGAATTCTACGTGTACAAGGGAAGAGTGCTTCTAATTTGTGGCATGTTTCAGTGTCTCCAACCTCGGCTCTATCCAGATAAACTGATGGTGTGAAGATATCTTGGCCTAGCAAATGAGTATCATTCACTGGCCAGCCCAGATTGCTTGGGTGTTTCCATTGCATTATTGCTTTGTTTGCTTGCTTGTTTGTTTGTTTTCTAATGACCTGGACCGTTCTTGGGGAAGAATCTTATTCCCAGGTGCTACATTCCTTTTAGTGTGGCGATGGCAGGTACATTTCATCTGGAATGCCCTTCAAATCAGTGAGCAGTGTCTGTCAGGAGCTCTGGGCTAAGGCGGCCGAGGCCATGGGAGGCCCTCTTCTAAAGCTTCCTGGGAGAAGGATTGATTAGCCATGTCTGCCATGGGCAGAGGCGGGAAGCCTAGAGGGCGAGGGCCATATCTCTGATGGAAGTGCAGAGTGGGAAAGGGCAGAGGAACCAGGCCAGGTGTAAAGGCACAGAGCTGCTCCCATGCACAGCAGAACCTAGAACACAGTCCTCCTCCTTCAAGCTCAGCTGCCTCGAACTCCAGTCTCCCTTCTTACTCCCTTCTCACTCCTTTCTTACTCAGCAACCAACTGCATAGAAGACGCTTTCTGGTGATGATGATGATGATGATGATGATGTGGTGATCCAGGTGACAGGGGCACCAGAGGAGCATCAGGCTGCAGGTGAGAGGATGCAGAGCAAGGGAGGATAACGGGACAATGAAAGTAGACTTCAGCCTCTCAGGGGGCATCTGAGTGCACAGTGATGGCTCACGGCCTTTCAGGTGGTACAGACACTTTCCCAGAGAGGCTGGTGTAGGGACTCCCTGCCCAGATGGACGCGCTCTTCTGTGAAGGAACATTCTGTGCTCCCTGGCAGGCAGTGAGTGCCCAGCCCATCAGCTTCCCCTGACTGCACACCAAGGGCCCTGGCAGCTCTTTCACAGCACCCTAGAGCTTCTGTCCCTAGCAGCTGCCTGGGCCCTGTGGTCCCACAGCGCAGGCTGGCCCACCGCAGACCATCTTTCTCTCTGAACACTGCCCTGGGTGCCGGGAGCTCTCTCAACAGGCCTGAGAGAATGCTGCTGGGTAAAGAAAGCCTGGAACCTAAATGACCCCTTTGTTTGCAATGAAATGAAATCTACCCTTTTTAAAGGCAAAATATCCATGCTGCCAGAGTCCCAGGTAAATAGGGCTCAGCTGCCATGCAGATCAGGAGGATTGAGGCCTGGTCTGGCTCCTGCTGACTGATTGCCCACCACGTGCACCTTCCTTCCCAGGCCTGTGGCAGGGGTGAGGAATGGCCAGACCCCTCTCAGAGCTGTCAAGGCCACTCACCTTGCAGTTGGCTCCCGGGTCAAGGCCTCTCCCTGCACTCCATAGCTGCTCCCCTCGGCTATGGGGAATGCTTGGTTCCAGGCAGGGCCCACCCGCCTGACTTTGCAGTTCTAACTCTGACCCACCAAGACTTCTGGTAATAAAAGGAACCCAGCTGTCACTGGTGTCCCAAGGCTCCTGGCCTTTCTTCTCTAAGGTTATCCATTTCTTTCTCACCATCACCACACCTCTCTCTGGTAAGGAAACTCTGTGATCTCCGCAAGTCTGTTCCTTTCCACACCATAATTCTTCCCTGTTGTGAACCAAACATGATTTGGGCTGTACCGGACCTTAGATGGGTGAAAGGTGAGCCTGCTGTCAACCAGCTGAGGCTGGGGCTGTTTCTGCCCCTGAGGATCCTGTGGCGGCGGGGGGCTCTCATTCTTTAGGTCAAGCTGAATTCCAGCTGCTCAAGCCATCCTTTCCCCGGGACTATAGAAGGTGACTTTTGTAGGGATTCCCTTCACAAGCTGTCACTGAAGCCAAGCATTCAGGACCCTTCCTTCCTTTCTTCCTTCCTTCCTCCCTTCCTTCCTTCCTTCCTTCCTTCCTTCCTTCCTTCCTTCCTTGCTCCCTTCCTTCCTCCCTTCCTTCCTTGCTCCTTTCTTCTCTCTTCTCTCCTCCCCGCACTCTCTCTTTCTTTTTCTCCCTCACTCCTCCAGTACCAGGGACTGCACCCAGAGAGTACTGAGCTCCACCTCCAGCCTTTAAAAACATTGACTGTGAGGTAGGGTTTTGCTGAGTTCCCACAAACTTCAGACCCTCCCGTTCACTAACTTCACCCCCCTCACCTCTCTTCTCTTGGCACCTACCACTTTCACATGGCCTGTTGTGTAATACATCAGGAACTGCAGGAGGCAAGTTAATTAGTGAACAAAAATAATCACTGTTTTTCTCAAAGAACTGAAAAATATCTTGTGACTAAGTGATTTCCTCCTCCAGATGCCCATCATCTGGCCAAAAACTTGGGAGCTTCACCTAGTGCAGGAAGGTGACTGCTAGTCTGTGAGTGTTCATCCCTGGCTGGTGTAAACTGTTTCAAAGTCAGCTTCCTGCAAGATGGACGTTGGCCCATGGTCTTCCGTCTTCTCAGTCAGCCAGCTTTTTAAATACAGTTGCCTTCCTCTCCCCAATGTAATCGGCCTCTTAAGTAGGGAGCAGACAGACTCCGGTCTTGTCACCTCACATCAGGCTTCTTTCCCTTCCTCTTTCCTCCTCCTCCTCCTCTAACCCGTCTTCCTCCTTCTCCTCCTCTTCTTTCTCCTCCTCCAATTCCTCCCTCCCTCTTCCTACTCCCTCCCACACACACTGGAAATTAAACCCAGGGCCTTCATACGGAGCTACATCTACCTCCTTTGAAAAACTTTTTTTTTGAGTCGGGGTTGCTCTAAGTCACTAAGTTATCCAGGGTGGGCTGAAACTTAAGATCCCCCTGCCTAGGCCTCCCAGGGTGCTGGACTTTTAGGTGTGCACCACCACGGCCAGGTCACGTCAGGTTTCTTTACACACCTGGCCACAGGACCCATCATGAGTTTCTCTGCATTTTGAGCTAAGGCAGAGGCTGTCCCTGTACATAAATATATTCCTTGCCACCCTCATCAGGAAGATCTTTAAGAAAATCAGTGAAAGCTCGGGCCCTCAATAAGCATTTATTCAGTATATGCTATGTTCCAGGTGCCAGACAGGCACAGCGTCCCCCAACAGCCCTCAAGAGGCCTTCAGCTATGAAAATAATACAGTGACACAGGAGCTTCTCAGCAGTAAGTCCTGGGCTCAGGGGGACACAGTGGAGGGTGGGTCATTCCCTCCATGGGGAGAGAGTTGAGTGGGGTATGGGAAAGCTCCCCATAGTTGGAGTAGTTCTGGGATTACTTCGAGCTGCTTTCCAGGCTCCAGCTCTGGAGCCACAGGTCGGCTGCCTGCCCAGGTTAGGGACCAGCAGCGCAGATAGGTGGAGTTGGAGTTCTAGAAGCTCCCAGGGGCCGGGCAGGAGGAAGGACGAGCACTTCCTCAGGCCTGGGACTGTGCATGTGAGTGAGGAGCTGCTGCCTCTGGGGACGGCCCTGCTCAGAAAGCCCCCAGGAGAGGTTTGCTGCGGTAGGAGCGATGTTTATCTAAGAAACATTCCAAGTCGGGGAGAAACAAAAATAGAAGAGGACGGGAGGGGAGAGGAGGAGAACTGAGAGGGGAGAAGAGAGGAGAGGAAGAGCTCAGTCATTGCCAGAGACCTGAAATTGCCAGGGAAATCCAGGGAGGCTTGCCCAGTGACTCCATAGACTTCATGTGGAAGGAAAGGAAAAACTCTTCCACTGCACGTGACTGGGCTGCCCTCCACATTAGCACAGCAAGCTAGGTGCTCCCTCCATGCACGCTCTTGATTCCAGGCTAATAAAGCTCTTCATGACCTTGTCAGCTCATGGGCCTTTCCAGTAGACTTCCTGTCACAGTTATCTTTTATACTGTGCCCATTAACATGGAAACAGTGGTGTCCCATAGACAGTAATTCACAACTCAGGGCCAAAAGCAGCTTCCTTTTTACCTTGCAGATCTCACTGCTCGTTGCAGATACTGGAAAACCAAATCCTAATATGCGTTATTGCAATTGCTGGGTCATGGAGAGTTCACGGACCTTGCTTTCCTTTTTTGCTATTTGTTGTTTATTTTTACCTCTTGCTCCATTTCTCTTTCTCAGGCTTTGGAAACCACACAACTGCTTGTAACAACTTTTCAAAGTGCTTATGATTCACAAGCCTTGCATTTAGAAGAAACTCCACACCCTTTAAAGTCACCTCTAAAATCAATCTCCTCTGGTGGCTGAGATGCATTATCATGCCTTTGAATTACCTCGCACCCAATTTACCTCCCATCTTGATCTTCCAGGAGTGGGTGAGCCCAAGAGTCTGGGCGAGGCAGGACTGGGATGTTTTAATGCTCACTGATCCTTGCTTCCCCGGCCTTCGCCAGGCAGCAGCAGTAAAAAGGCTGTTGTTTGTCCATGGAGCCAGCACACCTCTCTGCAAGGTGCCACCCATGGAGCTGCCATCAATCACAGACGGCTGTACCTCAGTGCCAGCCACCTAGAGCCAAGAGCAAAACCCACTCTTGCTTTCACTTATTGAAAATCATGAGCAAGCTATGTGCTGCCATTAAAAATCAGATCCTGAGTTTAAAAGCAGTCAACTATCCATTGCCATCCGTTAGTCTGAAGACATGGTTTTTTGTCCTTGAGAAAGGTCCGTGAGCCAATAAAGGACCCTGGGGGGAGAGTGGGTGGCAGAGGCTGGGAAACATACGAGGGTGGGGATCTTTCCTATTGTCTCTTCAGGCTGTAAGTTTCCCAGCAAAGAAAGCCGCCGAGCCAAGCCTGGGCAGATCCCCTGCAACCCCACGTGGTGATTACTTGGCCCTTCTGGGCTGTGGGGCTTGCTGAGCACAATTCCATGCCTCCTCACTGCACCAGTGGCTCTGACGCCCAAGGCTTGTTTTCCTTGATATGCAATAGGTCCGGTGACCAAGGAACAGCCATGCCATTGTGTGCAATCATAATCTAAGTGGGAGAGATGCCGCTTGTTCACCTGCATGTAGTCAATATTTACTTGACAACAGGAATCCAGGAGAGAGTACAACCCAGTTCCTATCATGGAACTCATGCTGTGCTGAAAGGAGACAAAATAATAAGATGATGATGATGATGCTGCTGTTGATGATGATGATGATGCAGCCTCTGGCGATGACAGCTGCTGTGAAAAGGAGAAGCCGCGGTTAGAGGAGCTCTACTAAGCTGGCCTCTGAGCAGAGTCCCCACTGCAGAGGAGCGAGCAGTCCAGGTCAGAGCATTTCTGAGGGAGCAGCAGGTGCTCAGTAGAAGGAGGGCTCGAGCAGAAAGCGCTCTGGACTCTCCAAAGCAGCTGGCATTTGTGATGTGCTTACCATGTGTCCAGCACTCCGCAGCCCTCCAGTGCTTGTTGGAAACCAAAATTGTCTCAACAGTCCTGTGACAGTCAGACGGCTACTCTCCCATTTTACAGATGGTGAAACAGAGATCAAAGGGACACCTAGTTTGACACAGATCACATGGCTGGGATGCAGCAGCTGAGGCTTGCGCCTGTGTCGGCTGAGCCAAAGCCCTGTGTTCCTGACCTCCAGTGCTGTTGTGGTGGAGCCCTTGCAGCCCTCAGGCAGGGCTTTGAGAGAGAGAACGCTGTAGAGGCGAAGGGCTCTCTGGAAGGCATTTTGCTCTTCCCTCAAACCCGCTTTCTTTTATCACTATTTTCGCTTTCTTACTTGGAAACATTGTCCAACCAAAGCTGCTTTTCCAGATGGCTTCCCGAGTGCTCACTGCTTCCTTGTTTTATGTAGTAAATGTGGCTGCTGTCAGGACACAAGCAGATGTCACTTGGCCCTCCAGCTTCATCACAGGGCTTCCCGGCGGTGCTGGAAGGTTTCATGACTGCTTCCAGAACCTGGGAGGTGGGGCTCAGCCCAGTAAGGTTTCTACTTCTGAGGTCAGAAACAAGGATCCAAGGGTAGACATTCTGGTGGGCACCTCATTCAGTGGATCCCCAAGGACTCAGTGTGAGATGGCAGCAATAACAGCAGTTTGCCATCGGTCGGTTTGCAGTTTTGTGGGCTCAGACCGAGTGGGGAGGCACCCAGCTGCATGATCCTGAGCAGTAAGTCTGCGATCACTACTGAGCCTACAGGTCCTCATCTTAACAGCGGATGATCTTCTGTGCACCCTCCCTCAAGGATGTGCTTCTTGTGAAGGACTTATCCACCACTACCCAGAGGAGAGGAGAAGAGAGGCACAAGGCAAAACTCCTGATCCAGAGCCCAGCTCCTATCTCTTGACTGTGAAATGCCTGCCTACTGCAAAATTGTCCTGGTGTTTATTCACATTGAAAGAATGGCCTCTTGTGTCACTGTCTCCTGGCCTCAGCCAGCCCATGGGAGGCAAAGCAGGGTCATCGAAGGGGGTCCCTGCTGGCTGAAGCTGCACTGAGCTCACTCTGCATCAAGATGAGTGGAAAATGTTTCACAAAACACATTTTGAATATTCCAATGTCACAGCACTGTGTATAGTAGCTAAGTTTGGAAACCAACTAAGCACCCGTGGATGCATGAATGGTTAAAGACACCGTGACATGCACAATGGAACATTATCCAGCCTTTAAAAAGAAGATACTACCATTTGCCATGATTTGGATAAACCTGGAAGGCTTTCTGCTAAGTACTTTAGCCAGACCCAGAAAGAAAAATACTATATGATCACTTGCATGGAGAATCTTTTTAAAAAAGTCAAATACATAGAAACAGGGTAGAATGGTGGTTACCACCGGTGGAGAAGGGTAGGAAATGAAGAGAGGGTAACAACTTGCAGTTCTGTAGGATGGGTCTACACGGTTAATGTGCAGAGAGGACCAGAGCTACTTAGTATTACTTGCTACTTACTACTTTTGTACTGTATATTGAAAATTTGCTAAAAGTAGATTTTAGGTGCTTTTAGTATATATACATGAGAGAGACAGAGAGAGAGAGAGAAAGTAGGGAAGGTGATGAATCGATAAATTACCTGTACTAACCATTTTACCATGTATATGCATATCAAATATAAAATAATCTTAAAAATAAAAACACTCTGGAAGGCTGAGGCAGAAGGATTGCCAGTTTGTGCCCAGCATAGGCAACTTAGGAAGTTAAGGAGAACCAAACTAAAAAAAAAAAAAAAAAATGTGTGTGTGTGTGTGTATGGAATGTAGCTCAGTGTGAAGACCCTGGGTTCAATCTCCAGTAATACAATATATGAAAAATAAACACATTTGGATTAAAAAATCCAAGATATACATGTACACTCGGGTGGCTGTAGATGTCGTTAGTATTCAGGGCATGATTTCTGAGGAAATCCTTGTATGTTCAGATTATAGCTCTGCCACTTTCAAGCAGCTCGATCTAAAGTGATGTATGCGAGTTGCTTTAACTTTTATTTCATTCTTCCTGAAGCTGACAATAGCGTCTACCCCAGGGTCATTCTGAGTAACAATGAGTGAAGAATGACACTCACACACTCACAGTGCAGTTGGAACAGACCCTGATGAATTGAGCGACATTTAAGTGTTGGCTATTATAAGAGAAGAAGCTGGTAAATGCTGGTGCTGGACATCGGCTTACATTTTTAAAAAAAGAGAAAGAAAAGAAAAGACACGTGCGAAAATCTTCCAGCTGAAACTACCTAGGTTAGAGTAAGAGAAAACTTGAAGGCCAAGAAAAGATGCAGCCACTTAGTTATGCAGGGAATGGCTTTCACCTGGGAAGCCTGCCGGGCTGGAGACCGTGGAGACACAGGAGGCTCCGGCCCCGGTGTGGAAAAGCGCAGCTCAGCTTTCAGGGCTCTCCCGGAGCAGAGTAGGAGGAATGTTAAGTGTATGCTGCATTGTCGTTAATTAATTTCTCAAGAGCTGCAGTCATCAGAAGGCTCATTAATGTGCTTTAGCCTGCCTTTCGGTTAGAGGATGAGTACTAAATGTAAATGCGATGCACTTAGAAATCTTAAAAATCCTTCAGTGCTGTCGAGGGCGGGGAAAGCCATGGCAGTCTCTAAGGAAAAGAAAAAGCCCACAAGGGTTTCTTTAATCACACAAAAGAGGAGCGACACTAACTCAACAGCAGCAGGGGCTCCCTGTGGTTTTTCCAAAATATTATCATTTGGACCTGGCTGCTCCTCTCCTCTTGTACAATGTTTAAAG